CTGACCTTAAGGTTCGCAGCCCGATTCGTAACCACTATGCTACCAGAGCTCCTTTTGATGTGCATATATAAAACAAAAAATATTTGTATGTTTAAATGTCCAAAGGACACATTTTGCAAACCAGCCTCCTGCCCACAGGCACACAGCCTTTCTCAGTCCATGGGCCTAGAGCCCAAACTGCTCTGTCTCTTTATGCCATTGCCCCTGCCACCATCTCTGCCACCGCCACTTTTCTAGGTAGGATCTTATGCTCCACTCATGCTCATCCTTCTTGATGGTCCTTAGGTCATCTGTTCCTGTAATGGAAGATTAACTCCTCCCTCCTTTTAGTTATACATTTTCCACAATTACAGTTGTGACAATCATGATTAATCCTGCTAACAGTTATTCACAATTGAATTGTAAAATCCTATCACTATTATCCTTCATCCCCCTTCATCAGTTCCATCTGAAAAAGAGGAAAACTATTCAGTGGGGATTCTACGTTACCCTCCTCGTTCTGAAACTCAGCATATTCATGAAAGCCTGTAAGGCAGCCACTTCATGCCTTTATAGCTCCCATTTTTGATAGCCAATGTCTAAGTTGCCCATTCCTATTAACTCAATACACTGAGGAAACTCATTGATATGAAGTATCATTCCATTTCAGTTGGAATTTTGAGCAATTGCATCTTTAAGCAAAGGTCCAGTTCATCAAATTATAGCAATTTACACTTGCACCACGGTTCAGAGCTTTAAATTTTATTTTAAGCTAAGGCCACTGCTTGCCTCCTTGGTTCAGACCAAGTGTTTTAGCTTAAAATACAAGAACCTTTTAATGTAGGCAAACTCTTGTGTGTTTTGTGATATTTGTAAACTGAGGAGTTATTATTTTAAGCTAGCCCTTTTATCGAACTAATTTATATTTGCTGTTAATGACACACTTCTTTTCTTTTTTAGAAAACAGCTTTCCATAGAAGTCAGACGCTGAGCTACAGGAATGGCTTTGCAGTTATTCGTCGTCCAACAGTTGGGATTGGCGGGCAACGGCTGCAGGTCAACCAGCTGTCCCAGGCTGAGCTCGATGAGTTGGCTAACAAGAGACCAGCGCTAACTTACGGCCAACCTAAGCAGGCCCCACCTGCTGATTTTATTCCGGCACATGTGGCTTTTGATAAAAAGGTATCATTTGGGATTTTAGGATACACCTTGAATTCAGTTTTTTGAGAGCCAACTGCTTGCAAAAAAGTTAACAAGAAACCACAGATTCCAGAATGAACAAAATTATTCAAATGCCTCAACCCTTAGTCACCGACAGCTGAACTGGGGATTGAAAGAGGCTTTCTGTAGTCAGGAAGCAGATTACAGAAAGTAAATATAAGAAATTCCCTGTAGACATCACTGTAGTAATTTCCAAATACAGTTAAAGAAAAGTTGGATGAGTTCTAAATTCTTGAGTTTGTATTGCTGTTTGTGTACCTGATCTGTATTTTCTACTGTGTAAAAATACTGTATTCTGTAGTGATGACAAATCCTTAATTACTATGAAATGCAAAATATCATCATGGAAAAAAAAATAATAACTCCATCTATTGTCAGTTTCCTGCAGACTGTCTCCGTAAGTTTTTGTTTTCCAGTCAACATTTCAGGTTTGGCATAACATAACCAAAAGGTAGTGTAACATCTCCGTTTATTTCTCATGTTGTTGTTGTTGTCAGGTGCCATCGAGTCGGAAACCGACTCATAGCGACCCCATGCACAGCAGAACGAAACAATGTCTGATCCTGGGCCAACCTCACTACCGCTGCCACACTTGACGCCATCAGTGA